GCCAACACGGCATTGTCGTTTTTGCTCGTCACTTTTGCTTCCGAGGCTTCAAGTCAACAAACTCACAACAAATGATTCGATTCGGTTCACTTCCCCCCCCTCTCCCGGGCCGCTCCTTCCGAAGTCCCTGGCCGGGCCCGCGGGGACCGGGCCCCGGGGGGGCTCCCGGACTACAGTACGGGAGCCGCCGGGGCCGGAGCCGGGCGGCCGGCCCACTGACTCACCGATGAGTCGGGCCGGCCCCGGCCGAGACCCCGGTCGCCGGATAACGGTTTTGTAACTGTGAGATGATCCTAAAATTTTCAAACGGTCGGAAATGACGAATGAAGCAAGAGTTTTCAGTCAAAACATTTATAAGCAAGTTTTGTATCATTATTTTTAGGTATAAAAATTTTCAAAACACTGGTAGATAATTCACAGGAGGGGTCATCAGATTTTGAAGGAATTAAAGGGGTGGTACAAAATAAACATATAATCGTTCCTGGACTGTACACAGTGCAGGCGGGTTGTCGGGCGACGTCTTCCAGTTCGACAGCAGAACATGCAGATGTTGAGGACAGAGACAGAGACAGAGACAGAGACAGAGACAGAGACAGAGACAGAGACAGAGACAGAGACAGAGAGAAGTTTTCTAAGGTGTGACTGGCAACAAATTGCCAACAAGGGATGAGGCAGAGCGCGAATGATGACGATGAAAAGATCAAGGTTCTATGTGGGCTGAGAAGATGATACACTTTTGGATGCGAATGAAAGCGAAAAGTATTTATGGAGAAAGAAGGAAATATGATTCACATTTCACCCGATGAGAATATGGCTATGAAGATGGAGGAAGGGATATGTGAGGGGGAGAGGGCAGATCAAAGATGGTTCCTGTGAAAATTCTTTTGCTGGCCATGGTGTTTCAGTGATCGTTTTGCTTTCGCAGGAACGCATGTCTCTGTGAACCCTTTGGACCCGCCCTCACATCCCATTATGGAAGACTCCGTCCGCGAGTGGATCGTTGAGAACCTGGCGCTCTTCCTCGACGAAGAGACCCGCCCGCAGCTAGACATCCGTCATCTCTACACCTTGCAGCAGTACAAGTCGACCACGGACCCGAGGATATGGCGAGAGTTGAGAAAGGAGGCGCGGAGATCGATCAGGTGCGGCAGGAGGAGGAGGAGGAGGAGGAGGAGGAGGAGGAGGAGGAGGAGGAGGAGGAGGAGGAGGAGGTGACTAGGTGAGCTTGCAGTGCTCGTCAAACGGACCTGTCGGACAGCTTCTCCTCGTTGAACAAGTCCTTGTCTGAGGTGCTGGGACGCATGCGAGGGAGGAGGAAGCGCTGACTGCTTGCTGCTTGCAGAGTGTGGGCTCGGAGAACTTCCAAGGGATCGCGGAATGCAGGGCAGAGGAGGTGAGGGAGGAAGCGTCTGTGCGAGAGAAACTTTGTGACCTCCCATGGAAGCACTCGACCCCGTCATCGAAGCCCAGGAGGACGAGGAGGAGCAGGAAGTCGAACAGCTACAACGTGGAGCAGGAGGAAGGGGTGCTTGAGGTCAGCAGGGACATGAGGTGAGTGAGTGAGTGAGTGAGTGAGTGAGTGAGGAGGAGGAGGAGGAGGAGGAGGAGGAGGAGTAACGGCGGAGCAGGGGAATCTTCGACTCGAGCCCTTCTTGCGCGGTGATCAACACCGAGCATCAGGTGTCGAGGGGTGCAGAGGAGTCACCCAAGATTGCCTTCGAGGAGAAGGAGGGGAAGGCGATGGAGGGGAAGGATGTCGTGCCAGAGTACGTGGACACGGAGAGCCTGGCAGTGGGGTCGTTGCTGGTGACAAGCGACTCGTCGCTGAGCAACTCCATGACGCAACTTCACCTCTCCTCCTCCTCCTCCGTCTCTCCTCTCATCGTGAGTCTCTCTGCGTACCCGGCGGGAACCCCTCCCTCTCTCCCCTCGTTGTCTTCCTCCTCAACTGCCTCCCCCCCCAAAAAAAACCTCGTTATGCCGAACCTCCCATCCCCCCCCCCTCCTCCTCTTGCTGAGTTCCCCACAGGAGGAGCGATGTTGGTGTGAGCTCTGCGCGGACAAGGGGAAACAGCTGGAGGCAAGGCTGCAGCTCGCGTTAGAGCAGCTGGCCTCTGCCCAGCTCGAGGCCAGCGAGTGGAGGATGCGAGCTCAGCAGGTCAACCCCATGAGAGGGAGATCCTGCTGAACTTTTTGCTCCTCTCTCCAGGTCAATCCGTTCGTCTCGCCCGATCGATCGGAGCAAAGGCAGGGGCATGGAGGACGATTCTTGGCGGGTGCGTAGAGGGAGAGGAGAGAGGGAGGGAGGGAAAGGAAGAAGGGAGGGAGGGAGGGAGAGGAGGGAGAGGGGAGGGAGGTTGACGAGACTGACAGACTCGACGCCGCCGACTCTGTCAAAGAGCCTGAGCTCGCCCATGGTCAAGACCCTCACTGGTTAGGGAGGAGGAGCCGAACGGTTCTGCAGCCTCACGCTGCTCGCAGAGACGATCTCGGCAGAGGCGTCAAGTATCGAGATGCTCACGAAGGCGCTGCTGGAGGTGAGGAGGAGGAGGAGGAGGAGGAGGAGGAGGAGGAGGAGGGGAGAAGCGTGCGACGGTGGAAGAGGACTGGTTGCCGTGGGAAGGAAAGAGAGGGCAGGAGAGAGGAGGGAGATGTGAGAGGTGTGGGAGGTGTTGACATGGTGCG